CATCTTTTCTCAGAATGGTTTGCTGAACTTTCCAATGTATATGTGTTGACGTTGAGGGCCCTCTTTTTCTTAAGCCCTGATGATTCCCTGCTGTCTTTCTTCTGTATATCTGTGCACAGATAAGTGGAAAGTCACAAACAATCAATAGCTCCAAGACCCATTTGAAAAACACAAAGAATAGTCTCAGAAGAGACTAGTTATTACACCAAGATATAAGCATAAAGCTTAGATGCAAAAAAATTACTACAGTTTTACTGAAAGGAATATTTCAAATAAACACATACCAATAATGATTCGAGTATATAAAAGCTAAAAATATACACAAAGACCAATCTTTTCCTTCGTTTTATCACCTATAAGTTTTTTCTTTATTTACTTTTATATGATGTGTTTCACCATACACAAATAGATAATAAATTTAAAGCCTTTACCTTTACTTTTAATGCATAATTAAATCAGACAATGTATATGTAATACAGAATATAACATCTTATAGTTTTTTTTTAATTTATTATTTCTTTTGAGAGAGACAGTGCACCTGCACATGCAAGCAAGTAGGGGAAGGGTAGACAAAGGGAGAGAGAGAAAGAATCCCAAGCAGGCTCTGTACTGCCAGCACACATGAAGCCCCATGTGGGGCTCAAACTCATGAACTACGAGATTATGACCTGAGTAGAAACCAAGCACTCAACCGACTTAACCACCTAGGAGCCCTCAGAATTCAACATCTTAAATTGTAACAAGACTTTAGGCTAGACAACATAAAGTCCAATGAGATGGTTTACATTCTTTTGTTCATATTAAGACTTTGAAATCCAATGAATACTTACACTTAACAGCATATCTCCATCTAGATGCTAAATTTTCATCGTAAATACTTTATATGCTTTTAGAGTTCATAAAATTTAATTTATTTTTATTTATTTATTTTAATGTTTTATTTATTTCTAGGAGAGAGAGAGAGAGAGAGAGACAGCGTGAGCAGGGGAGGGTCAGAGAGAGAGGGAGTCACAGACTCTGAAACAAGCTCCAGGCTCTGAGCTGGCAGTCAGTACAGAGCCCCACACGGGGCTCGAACCCGCGAACTGCGAGATCGTGACCTAAGCGAAAGTCGGCCCCTTAACCGACTAAGCCTTCCAGGCGCCCCAATAAAATTTAATTTAAAAAGTAGACCGAAGCAGCACCTGGGTAGCTCAGTCATTTAAGCATGTGACTTCAGCTCAGGTCATGATCTCATGGTTCGGAGTTTCAAGCCCTGTGTCGGGCTCTGTGCTGACAGCTCAGAGCCTAGAGTCTGCTTTGGATGCTATGTTTCTCCCCCACTCATGATATCTCTGTCTTTCAAAAAAATAAATGTTAAAAAATTTTTATAGTAGACCCATTGTTCTAAGCATACTAAAAAAGTTACCAGTAACTATATTATCTGTTTTGAAATTTAAATTCAAGTTTAATAAAATTAAAAATTCAGTAACTCAGTGGAACTAGCCACATTTCATGTGCTTGGCAGCCATGATGGATAGTGGCTACCATATTGGACAAAACAGCTCTAGAGAGTAACTGGGTGGCTAAGGAACAAAGTAGTTTACAATTTTGTACTGTTTCCATACATAACTTATCCAAATAAATGAATAAACTATATTCCTGTTTTAAAGCCATATAGTAACTAGAAGTTTGTAGAGATCAAGAATGCATCCCTAAAGGATGAATGTGGAGGCAAAACAGTTATCTTAATAGTATATTCTTGTAACTTAGAAAGAAATTCCCAGTAATAGCACTCCAAAAACACATTCTGAAAGTACTGTATCAGAAACAGCTTCATTGGAAGTAAGATTATGTGCTTGGTAAAACTATACAGCTTAATTAAAAGAGTAACCTCAGAGTGTTGATGAAGATATCAACTATCAAAGTTTGAATAGAATAATTTTATAAAATATGAGTAGAAAAATCAATATAATTTAATACTTCATATATTTGATTTCAAATACATATATATGAATCTCAAAAATAAATTAGATACTCTAAGTTGAGAAATATATACATATAAATATGTGATTATATTAAATATATTTCATATAGGTTATTTACATCTATGTTCCTAAGCAGCATTAGTCTGTAGCTTTGTTTATAGTGTCTATTCTTGGGGTGCTTGGGTGGCTAGGTCAGTTGAGCATTCAGCTTCAGCTCAGTTCATGATTTCATGGCTCATGAGTTCAAACTCTGTGTCCGGGCTTTGTGCTGACAGCTCAGAGGCTGGAGTCTGCTTCGGATTCTGTGTCTCCCTCCCTCTCTGCTCCTCTCCCTCTTGTGCTCTGTCTCTCTCAAAAATAAATAAACATTAATTTAAAAAAATGTATAGTGTTTATTCTTGCCTGTTTTTAGTACTGGTGTTATGGGCTTCAAATATAAGAAGTGAGGTTCAAGTGAAGAACCATTCCTTCTTTCACTGAAATGGGCATATAACAGGAAATTTAGCACAGCATTGCCTTGAATTCTATAACATAGCTATGTTTCTGTGTAGTTATTCGTTTATTCAGCTTCTACAGCTATTGTTTTTAGTAAATTGTGGTAATTATATTTTCTTAGAAATATTTCTTTCTCTCAAATCTCTGAATTTTTTTAAGATTACAATTAGAAAATATTTTTTTTCTTTCATAGTTTATTGTCAAGTTGGTTTCCATATAACACCCAGTGCTCATCCCGACAAGTGCCCTCCTCCATGCCCATCACGCCCCTTCCCCTCTCCCCTACCACCATCAGCCCTCAGTTTGTTCTCAGCATTCAAGAGTCTCTCATGGTTTGCCTCTCTCCCTTTCCCCACCTATTTTTCCCTTCTTCTCCCCCATGGTCCTCCGTTAAGTTCCTCCTAATCCACCGATACGTGCAAACATATGGTATCTGTCCTTCTCAGTCTGACTTATTTCACTCAGCATTATACCCTCAAGTTCCATCCATGTTGCTACACATGGCCAGATTTCATTCTTTCTCATTGCCATGTAGTATTCCATGGTATAGATAAACCACATCTTTTTTTTTTTTTTTTACAAATAGTTTATTGTTAAATTAGTTTCCACATACCCCTCAGTCCTCATTCCCACAAGTGCCCTCCTCCATGCCCACCCCTCCCCCCCCCCCCCCC